GTTAGAATGATGCATCAAAATCTGATGTACCTTAATTAGACGTTTGTTTTTGAGGTGTGGATAGTAACATTTTGTTGAGTATCTAGCGTAAGTGTGCGTATAAATTTGTGCGTCAACTTAACTAATCGTGCATTTAACAAGCTCATCATCAGAGCATTCTTGAAGTATTACTGTATAAGTTCTACGACTGTATAAACGACCGACAGTCAATGAGTTGAGAGCACGTCTTATTATCGTTTCTTGCATTGACAATCAAGCGTGCTAATTATTTCAGGCTGACCAGGATGATCCAGAAATTGGTTGTATTATTTTTCACGATGATTATCGTTGATTTCACTCAGTGTAGTGTGGATGAAAGTGTGGATGAGAGCGATGGTAAGACATTTCGGGGAACATTCTGCGTATTTATGTCTTTTTCTACATTTTGATCCCTTTCGATCGAATGTGTGATAGACAAATGTGCACGATTGTTTGATTTCAACTATCGTAGCTGATTGGTTTTCAATTTGCAGTCTCGAAACGATCTCGAAATCCGTATTCATGGATGAACAATTTGAAAAGGACTGATGCTCTGTATCAGTGGCTACCAAATTCAGAAAATAGCAACTTCAATGAAATCGAGGCGGAAACTTCCGATAAACGTGCTATTAAAAATCCGTATTCGTGGCAGAACTACAAGGTTGGTTGCTATGTTCATGTAGCGTACAGCTGACTGTTTACTTCTGCTCTAATTCATCTGAAGTAAAGTCGTGTTCTTGTTCAATTGTTTGCTTTGACCGGTGATTATGATTCGTCAGTGGATGATGCCTCAAATAAAATCATTCATTTGATCTTGGGATCTTGTTATAGCCACTGGAAATGAACTATCGATTCGAAATGAGAAATGGTCATGAGTTAATTTTGGCTTTTTAGCNCCGCGGGAGCCGTACTGGTGGATGGGCTACGGTGAGAAGCGAGCACCGCTGAATCCGTACTCGTGGATGTACACTCTCCAGAAACGTTCAGCATTCGGACGTGCACGCAATCCATATTCGTGGCTGAACACATCTCGGTGAAAATAACGCAGCTTTGAGTGATAATGATCGATATATATTTATGTGGAAGTGAACTTGGCTATCGATAGTAGAGATCAGTCCTTATGATCTGATGTCGAAGTACTTAGATTTGCTAAGATTTGTTTATTCTTCATCAGGACATCAGCGCTTTGTGGTAGTATGACTGGTAATAATGAAGAAAGGAATCGAAATATGCTTACTTAATGTCAGGAAATCGGAGAGCAAAAATATTCTCAAGTAATTGCTTATCTGTTCACTTCCCGAAAACCTTTATTAACCTATCGCTTCTTGATTAAGTAATGGTTCAGGAGGAATTTTGCTGACGTGAGTGCATTCAAGATATTCATGTTGACTCTCAAATTTTTGCAAAATACATTTGCTGTTGAACGCTTTCTGCTGATTTCTGCATTGTTATAAACCACTTATGAAAATAATCGCTTAATGACGGTTTGAATGATCCCAGAATGTTGCAACATTACAGTATGCTTATCCTGGGCATATAATAAACTTTTCACATTGTCTTGTTTTGCAGTGCATTTTCAGTGATAAATTCCAAGATTACGATGCAAAAATCCAACAGAAATCACTATGAAATTTTTAATCACCTTCGCCATACACTGGCACAGAGAGAAAATTGTTTGCATTTTATCTGACACTAGTTTTCTCCAGCACATTATCTCGAATTATTGCACAAATATTATTGGAAATCATTTTCACACGCCATTTATTACACAATTGTTACTGAATGAGCAAATGACGAAACTGAATCAATTTGAGTTACGTTGGCGATAAATTCGTTCGTTTTGTTGGTGATTAATAATGCATGTAATTCCGTTTCGCACACAAAACAGTGAATAGGCAGAGTTGTCTTGCGAACGTGCTGGTGATGGGAAGAGTGGTAGCGATTAAACATCATCAGAAGCATTCAACAAAATAGAGTCAGGGTGCAGAACCACGACTGAATTGCTGATATTGCTGGCTTGCTGAAATTTAGATATGAATTCAGATACGATATCATTATGAAATGAACGCAGTCCGCTCGAAGAAAACCATGAACTATTCATCAGTGGGTCAAAGTACCGTGAAAATTACCCGTCGTTTGATGTTTGAGGTAGCTTCACAGGTTGCAGTAAGAACACCCATGCAATCAAGCTTTAGGAAAACAGTTCATAAGGTTTCTAACTTTTTGAATTTGAGCACACTGGCCACATCTTTTGTCTTCAGTTCAAATTTATTCTTCGGGAACGCCATCTCACCTATTCGAGGTGTTGTGCGAAGAAGCGATACCAAATTCACTGTTGGATACTTATTAATGTCATAATCAGGTGAGATTCCTTAAAAAAGTTACAGAAGAAAACATTGAAAAAAGTTGATCAGAATGATTGTCAATTGTTTTCGGTGTCATTAAGACTAAGAAATGCTCTTTTAGCATGATTCAAACTCGCTTCGAATGAATGCGGCTGTCTTCATCATATTAGCGGAATTTACCGTTTTGAAGAAGTACTGCACGAGCCTTATTATTCAATGTTTCTCGATCGAGTTTACTCTTAAGTTTCTCGCGAAACAGATTTGCTCTTTTCTCGCAAGAAGCTTTGTCGAAGCCAGGTGGACAGCTCTGAAATGTTCACAGTTGTCAAAATATATTCATCGCTCAACACAACCGCTATCAATATCAAGCAGTGTTACGGGCACAAAAGTGCTTGAAACACATAGGTTAAACACATGAATGATTAAATGTGAAAGTATTCTTAACAAAACTCAATAAAAACAAAAGGGTTTTCTCCTGAAAACCATCACTTCAAAGCATTCACGATTATGGTAATCAACGATAATGTGTTCTTGCTATATTTTCGCATTTTATTAGATATATTCCAAACTAATATTAACTCAGTTACATGTAAGAATATCAATGAATGTTAATGAGCGATCATATCATCGAGTCAGTTCGTTTACTATTCGGGAATATCCTCTCATAACTTAATCCTAATCACAGACTTCCCTTAGATCATCAGTTTTGCTGCATGTATTCACAAGTAACAAAATTGCGTGAATCCGATGCTTGTCTCGCAGTTGTGAGCGATCAATGAATTTGGGTCAGTAGAATTCAGCGTTCGGATTGATATTGAGAAGTTGAATATCAAAGTTCACTACCAACCTCTCTGACTGATGAGCCGGTTTGATAAAATTTTGACATGCTAGCAAGTTTTTTTCGAATGTTCGGAATCGTTCTCGCTAAGTTGTGTTGGATAGTTAATTAAAACTATGTATAATTGCTGACTTCAACATGAATTATATTTAATCTAACAACGAGTATGAATAGCTGGAGTTAATTGTCAATCGAACTGAATGATAAACGGTACGGAAGTTATCAAACAGCATGCGTATAAATGATGGAATCATGCGAAAATGCACCTCTACCGCGTCAATCAGTTGATGAGACAGCTCGTACGGAGCATCCGGATTACCGCTTTTGCTTCGGCGTATGAAATCTTTGATCAGTTGTGACGGCGTGAAATGTGACAGCAATGCTCTACTGGAGTCAAATATTAAAATTGCACCAATTACGAGTGATAAATTGAAACGAATCATCGTCTGTACCAAAGCTGTACCAAAAATTTTGGAATATCCCTGAAAACCACACCGATCTGAAATTTGCAGGATGACATTTGCATTTATACGCAGTTTACACTTCTGAGGCGAACCAAATAATCAAACTTGGATCTCTAATTATATTTAACTACTGTTCCGTACCGAATGAAATATGCAATTGCACGATGCAGTCAGTGCCTCCGACAGGAAGGGCACTCGCACAGTTGAATTCGATTTGCGATGGTAAGGGAGGTGAAACTTAAATTGCATGAACGGCTGTCAAGCAGTTCGAATAATCCGCTACTGACAGCGTTGTGAGTTGGAAATGAGGAAAATGACTGCAATGAGCAAAGGTATTGATATGACAGTACAGCGTAAGAAGTGAGGCTGTGATTAGTCGTTTTGAGAAACGAATATGAATGTTGGTTTGAGAAACGATGAATGCTGAATAGTCGTTGGTGATTTTGAATTCAGCGCAATCGTGTTCAGGTAACACGCAACAGTGTGTGCCTCAATCTGCACTCTTCAGAGTGTCTTGAATCGTTTCTAATGGATGACGGCATTTGATGGAAAGTATGCAAATGAGATCGGTAGCTTGTCGAGAAATTCATGCTCATTTAAGACAATTTACTTTATCGTGCAAAAAGTGAAAACGAAAAGCTCAAGAATACGTGGTTCTATTGAAGTCAAAACATTCCAACATTGAATCCACTCTGCATTTGATCTATAGCTCTCAAACAGGTCGACGAGATATTCGCTGATGAAAAACGAAGCAAACTTATTGAATGATCCTCGAGGAAAATGCTCATCGCAGCTGATGTGATCGGTTCAGCTAGCACAACTCATAAATTTTTCATAATGAACGTAAAACATTCCCTACACAAACGGGCTAGCACTTAATGCAACTGAGTCTTGAACACAGTCCGCCTCAATTGCACGAAATTAAAGTTCACTGGTTTCAACAAGCTTTTTTAACAATATCAATCCATATTTGGAAACCAGCAATGAAAGAAACTTTTCATAAGCAACTCAATAATTCAACAATCTTCATTCTAATCAAAAGGTATGCATTATTCTAAGAAAACGCTTCCATGAAGCCAGTTCCAGAAGTGATTCCCAGAAGACATCCTCTATCAATAGCAATCGAATGCAGGTGTACGAAATATTAATTACCTCATAGGAATTAAGCAAATATTAATGTATTATTCTTTTATATTTACGAATTCAGTGGTTAATTTAAACAACGTTCGATTGTTTTGATCTGATTGCGCATATTATTACAATCAGAATGAATGTGCTTAACTTAGCAATGTTTCGATCAACGACAATTCTTTGAGAATTCACACGCGTGCGAATGATAAATGTTATGAGTTAAAACATTGTATCTTGTCGACACAACATTGCCTTGTTGAATTATCACAGCAAAACATTTCCACTGCTCATATTCGAAATGATTTACTGAATAGGCCGCTGAACATTGCAAATTGCAGTCGTTTCAGCATTTTTTTCAGTAGTAATCTGGAAGATCTAGTTCAATTGACTTCAGCTATCGTTTCACCAATTGAAAAGTTCCTACAAAGATTTCATCCCTAATGTTTCTATCATTTCACAGAAAAATGTCCGCTAATCAGAAACATGAAAATAAATCTTGTTGAGTTAGATGCGGCTGAACCTTGCCGATGTATCAACCAAAGAGTGCCAATGAAATTTCCTAAGGAACACCTTTAAGTGTGACTTATCGCAAGCAGCCACATCATGAACAATTTCATCGCTAGTAGTTTGAACACTTCGGTTACGGCCGAGGTTCTGATGAAGGACTGCAGAGAGAATAACATCACCAGGTTGCCGAGCAGGGGTCATAAAGGTATTGAATTGTTGGAATGTACATTTGCAGATGCGAGGGATATATGCAGCTGTCTTGGTTTTTCAGCACTCAATTTCCTCGAACATCAAGTGATACGGCTCCATAATACTGCGGTCTTCATCTTGCGCGTTCGCAGAAACTTCATTTTCGAATTTAGCGATGGCTCGAACAAATAAATGTATGGAATGAATATCACGCAAGTGATTCCAGTAAAATTCCAACTGAAAATGAAATCCGACGGTGAATGGTGGGATCGTGACATTCACTAACTCAATTTCAATGCTTAAATACTGAACGTGCGAGAATTTTCTTTTGTGCGATATTCTCCAAACGAATATCACTGAAAAGTGCACACGCCATTCAGTTCAGTCACGAAATCGTTGCCATATACAACAATATTCACACTGCCTTCGATGAAAGGAGACTGAGTACATTGTTTTCAAATGAGACACCATTTAACGCACAATTAACACACGTAAATTTCAAAAAAAACCGGCCGTAAAAGATGGCAATTTCGATTGCATGTTAATTGTAACATATTAACGCAAGTCATGACGAAGATAGAACGGATAAGAAGAAGAAAAATTCATAACGATCGAACCTTTATGAGCCATGCTGCGACTGGTAAATTGAAAAAAAAAACTTTGTCTTATCTCCACGAGATAGGCAACTGGATTTGAGATTGACAAAGTTTACCATTCACCTTACGAAACTTTGATCAAAATTATACGTTCAAAATTTGATCACAACAAATA